ATTATCATTTATCTCTCCATTATTATTCTTAGGTTTAATGATTTCATGAATGAGAAAGCCCTTTGTAAGCTCATACTACACAACCATAAATTATGCTAATCACTTTTTTCAAATAAAAGTTTAGTTTACTTTTTCACCTACTACACACTTTTAAAACACCTAGTACTTGTAGTTTATCTTAATTGTGATAAATATTTATTTGCATACTTATTTGTTTTCAAGTTGTGTTCCCCTATAGAATGACAGATGCACAGGGTGCTCAGAGTTGCTATTTTTCTTGCTTACAGCTATATCCCCAGCCCATTGCACAGTGACTGGCCTTTACTGAGCTCCCAATGAGTATTTAAGTGAATGAGTGGCAGCTATATAAGATGACATGTGATTGTCTGACCTCTGGGGAGAATTCTAGTCTCCTCTATTGTCCCTGTATCTTACCCAAAGAAAGGCCAGGATAGAAGGCAGAGATATTTAGTGGAGAGGGTGCTTGGGAGCCTGTGGGAGGAGGACATATGGGCAGCTTTCCATGGGAGTAGATAAAGATTAAAATCAGTTGCATCCATCAGGCATACCTTATGGCTATATGATTTTCCTTTGGCTTGCCATTGGAGAATTTATCTCTTGTGAAGATGGTGCACTAAGATGGACCTAGAGTTGCCTCCTGCTTTAAAAATGTGCCTATCCCAGGAAAGACTTCTCCAGGACTTGTGAATAAAGCTTTCTTTTTCCATGGGTCCATCAAAGTGGTAAGACTGTGAAGACCACAGTCAAGATTAGGGTTTAAATATGGGATGTGAGGTGGTATTCAGGGTATGTCCTTCCTTTGAATGATCAGTTTCTCCCTCTCTATCTCATATCTCCTATTTACAAAACCAACCTTTGACCTCAGTCTCCCCCAATATACTCCATCTATCTGCTTCCTTTTATGGCAAGATTCTTGAAGGAGTTGATTCTGGTAACTGCCTCCATTCCTCATTTTTCCTTCTTCTCAACCGACATTCACCAGCATTCTTCCCCCACCACTCAACTGCAGTGGGTTTTGTCAAGGCCATCAGTAAAATTCAATGGTCAGTATCTGTTCTTTCTAACTTGTCCTACAAGTAGCATTTAGCACAGCTGATCCTCTCTCCTCCTTGAATCACTTTCTTTTGCTGCCTTCTGTGATACTATGATTTCCTTGATTGGTTCCTCATATATTATTTTGCTTTTAAATGTTAAAACATCCATGTTTAAATGTTAAAAACATCCCATTCATTCTTAATTTCTCCCTTTACATACTCTCTCTAGGCTACCTCCTTCAGTCCCATAGATTTAAGTTTTATCTATATGTTGATCTGCCTACATATCCCAATGGATGCCTAATAAAGGCATTTCAAGCTAAAATTTGCCCAAATAAAACTTGTGTTTTGTTCCTAAAACCCTTCCTCTTCTTCTCCATCTCAGAAAATGTCAGCATATCCCTCAGTTGTTAATGTCCTAAATCGAAGCGTTATCCTTAACTCCTTTCTTTCACCACTAACTAATAAACAAGTTCTGCGGACTCTACCATTTATCTATGTTTCTGCATCTCCAGTAGCTCCCAAAGTTCAAGATTCTTTTATTTCTTGCCTGGATGCTGCAACTGGTCTTCTTGGTAGCCAGAATTAGATATTTAAAGCACACATTTGATCACATCTATCCCTCATTTAAAAATTCTTCTGTGCCTTTCCATGACATGAGAACAACATTTGACATTTTATCTTGGTTTTCAAAAATTCATGTGATCTGAACTTTGCTTACCTCTCTGAGTGCACCTCACATGACTTGCCTCTCTCCTTTTCCGCTGTGCTTTCAACATACTGGCCCGACTTGTTTCTTAAACTTGCCAAACTTATTTCCACTTTGGGGCATTTGTGCTAGCTTTTCCCTCTGCCTGGAATGATTTCCTCCCAATCTTATCATGACAGGTTCTGTCTTCCCTTTTTATTTTAGTCTAAATGTCAACAGCTTTGAGAGATTCATCAAATATAAATTAGAGATCTGGTTGCTATCCCATCACTTTATTTTATCTCTCTGCACAACATTTTTTTTTTTTTACTATCTGATATAGATCTTGCTATTTTTTTCCTGGCTATCTTCTTCCCACTAGATTGTAAGTTTGAAAGTGGGGACATTATCTCTCTTGTTCACTGCTGCAACTACAGTACTTAGAATTACTCATGGCACAGCAAGTGCCAGCTGAGTTTATTAGTGAATCAGACCACTCTTGTTTTAGGACAAGTGTATGAAGCCTGCTCCTACCTAAGCAAAATGGCTTCTTACAGCAACCCTTGGTCCAGTTGAACTTGTCAAATGGTCATAATGAGCTATTAATAAAGACCACAATTTTGTTGATCTCTGTCTGACCTTTGTTTGCCTCCCTCACCAACCTATGGCAGCACTGGGTGCCTGGTGGAAGATTTGAGGCCTCATCTTAATAAATATCTGGCAGAGTCAGCCAGGTTTAGAGATCCTGGTTCCTCATCATCACACCCCAATCCCCAACTGTACTCACCTCTGTTAGAATTGACAACATTAATAGAGTTGGAAGTATAGTGGATAATCAGAGAAGGGAAATGCTAGCCTAGCTTGCAGTTTTCATGGACATTAGCTGGGCCATGGCAGGATTAGGACAGATAGATACAGGAGGGAAGAATGCTGACAAATGTGCAGTAATGGGAAAAGTAGAGCATTTCTGTGGGACAGTGAGGATACTTATGAAATACCTGAAAACACTTAATCGATTTTAGAAAGTTTTGGGTGTGAGATTTAGGAATGTGGGGTATTATTGAACTGTGTGAAATACTTGATTTCTTCTAACAGCTTCTAAAAATCTAAGATAGCTTCTCCTCCTTCTCCTCCTCCTTCTCCTTCTTACCATTATTACTTATTCCTTAAGGCATCCATGAAACTGAAAGTTGGCTTCTAAAATGCTAAATCATAGAGAACTCACTCTCATACAAGGAAGGCCTTTAAATTTTAGAAGACTGATTACTAGAAATATAGGTTTTATACTGAGCACAGATTGCCCTGAATTGGCTGTTTAATGGTCATTGTTTTGCTCTCTGGAGCATCACAGTGTAAGCCTAAAACCGTCTCCCACCTGACAGTCAATTCACAATGAACTGAATTATGTCCCCTCCCCAAATTCATATGTTGAAATCTTAACCCCAATGTGAGTATATTTGGAGGCAGAGACTTTAAGGATGTTCTTAATGTTAAATTAGATCATAAGGGTGGGACAGTGATCAGACAAGACTGAAGAGGAAGAGATACCAGGAGTAGATGCATAGGGAAAAAAAGCTATGTGAGGACACAGCAAGAAGATGGCCATTTGCAAACCGAGGAGAGGTATCAGGAGAAACCAAGTCTGCTGGTATCTGGGTCTTGGACTTCTAGGCTCCAGAACTGTGAGGAAATAAATTTCTGTTAAGTTACCAAGTCTGTGATCTTTTGTTATAGCAGCCCAAGCTGACTAAGATACAGTCTTTGTACATCTCAGATAAGCGAAAGTGGAAGCCCCTTGATGCTTCTCTTATTCAAGTGAAGTGGCTTTGGGTTACTCAGCTGCTCCTCATTAGAGCAGAAATGCCCATTAGAAGAACGGTAATGACTAGAACAGAACATAATACCGCAGTGAAGCATGGTGGACTCTGGCCAGAGCAGTGGGACTGTTGCCTGACTTATTATATAGATGTTATTTTCATAACAGTACAATTGAAGACTAGTTGTTGGCAGCTCTTGACTCAGGTTAACTTCCAAGATAACTTCACCCACTTTCTCATAAATTTTAATGCTAGTCTGCTGGCTATGTGCATTAAGTGCCTGACTTAACCTTGATCTGGTTAGATTTCATCATGTTGGGTGATGGGCCTCATTTTTCAAGCCATCCAAATGCACTCATTGTCAGCCCCAACTGCTTACTGTCAGGAAATCAACGCCCTTCTTCCGACATTTCGTAAAGTTGTTGAGTGGGAAGAAGTTGAGTACTGAACCTGGTAATCTGAATGATAATAATAACAACTTATATCTGTATAGACTTTATACGTTATGGAGCTTTCGGCCAGTTTAGGGATCCCGGCAAAGTAGGAAATGAGTTTCATCTCTCATGACTTCTCCTCTATGAGTTGCTCGGTATGATAAAAAGAGACAGGAAGCAGTGGCACTAATCTTGGCCTTGAAGCCACATTATCTCTCTCAAATTTGATGTCTACCTATGAGTGAAGGAAAAGACTTGATGATCTCTGGGGTCACTGTAGCTTCAATACTTTCTGCCCTGGTTAGCCACACGGTATAAAGTTTGTCTTCATATAACAGATCTACAGATATATAAAGACCTACTTATATATAAATTCCCCTTTAAACCAAACATCTCTGGCTCCTTAAATAAAACTCTGTGTTTGGTAAATCTACAATGATTCCCAGGGTTTTGCTGTCTCTCCAAATTATTCATAAAACTTCTCACTAGTTGATCATTTGAAGAATTCATCTTTTTTTTTCTTTTCTAAACTGACTACCTTCTTTCATCTGCAGCCACCAGTATCTCACCTATTCTCCTTGGTAACTTATAGAAAGCTAATAGTGGCTTAGTGACTGCATCTGCAAGTATTTCCAGGACTGTGGGGTGCAGTTCCTCCAGCTGAATCTTTTTTGGCTTTGCAAGAGAAGCCAGGTGCTCTCTTGCTCGCTGTTCACCCATTGTGAGTGTTCCTTTCAGCTTTTTCATCTGCACATTTGATATTCATGTCTGCCATATCTTTATTCAAGGTGCCAATAAAAATGCATTATGTATGACATGGTCTTCTCAGAAAATGATCATGTTTTGTATATTTAGGGATGTAAGAGCTTATAAAGAAGCAAAAAAATTGGGGGGGAAATGTGTTATTTCTTGACAAACAAAAAATCTTCAGAAAAATAATATTTTGATTCCACTTCTCTCTGTCAATCCTCTCCCCTCCCAAATCTCCACATCTCAATCTAGAAAGCATAGTGCCTGAGGAGAAGGAGAAATTGCTAAAGTGGGATGGATGATGTGCAGCCAAAGTTGCCTGCAAAACCAGGCTAAGACATTCAGATGAAATACAGTGGGCATAGGTAAGCATGTGTGTTTTTTAATTAGAGATGTAATGCAATGGTACCATATTTTCGCTTTGTCTTTAGATGGCTCTGATCAGACCAGGGGACTTCTTTCCTGAATTCCCACAGCTAAAACATAGGTATACATTGGCACTTGCCATTTGTTCATTGACAGCAGATGTTTGAAAGCAGGTTTTTTTCAAACCTGTGTGTGTAATCTGTTAAAACACAGATTAAGGGGACCCACCCCCAAGTTTTTGGTTTAGTAGGTCTTAGTTGAGGCCTGGGATTTTGCATAGTTAAACTCCTAGGTAACACTGATGCTACTAGCCCAAGGACACATGAAGAATCACTGCTTTAAAGAATCACACAAGGGTCTTACCTTGAACTTGCTTCATTAATGAAATGCAAGGAGCAGCATGGGGTTCATGAGGGGAAACTGAGAATAATCACATCTTCTTTGTTTGTGGTGGGACTCAGAGCTTCACTTTAGCATATATACAGACATTCCTTTTTCCTGGGAGGCCTGCCTTCAATGGATGAGTTTTCATCGCCCAAAACAGGGTAATTTAATGTTGTGATCAACCTGAAGTAGACTGAGGTTTCCCTTCTTAATTGAATGGGTTAGCTCATAGATATAATGCTCATCAGATCATTTTCATCTTCCCAGGATGTTGAAATTATCCTGGGAAGGATTTAGATTAGGTATCAAATAGAGTACACTGGATAATAAAAACTGCAAAATGCACTCAGAAGTTATGGCATCTCTTGTCTGGGCAAAAAGTGGAAACAAGTTAGATTTTCCTCAATGTGGACTAATTTTGGTTTTGGAATCAGAGAGAACATAGTTTGGATAATTTTTTTGCCTCTTTTTTTTAGATAATTTGCCTTGGTTAAGTCACTTAACCTCTCTGAGCTTCTGCTACTATATACACAAAATAGGGATTATCAGGGCTTTTGTAAAGTTTAAGTAAAATAAAGGGTGTAAACTGGTTTAGCACTTTGCCTGGCTCATAGTAGATACTCAACTAATGTTAATAATCTCCCTCCTAATGTCTTCTCCTCTCTGTGATAGAGTCCCTTTTTATCATTGGCGCTATGATTATTTTGAAATACATCAGGCAGGAAAACAGAACCAGGCTTGGAAGGGGAGAATCATTTTTGTAGTCAGCATCATTGGTGCCAATTTGGAGATTAAACTTTCTCGGTGATTTGAGAACATCAGCGTGGTAAGAGATTTACCTACAGACTGCAGAGAGAAATCGACTCTGCAGGGGGCCAGCTGGTTCAGTGCTGGGTGCTCCTGAGAATTTGCTTTCCTTTGACGGAGGAGAGCCAGAAATAAGCACGGTGGGCTTCAGCACCTTGGACAGGGCACCAGACGTACAGGTTTGTCAGCTGGGCGCTCACTAGGCCTGGGTAATAATTCGTGGCAGTCTTGTTAATGGCCTTAGGGCTTCACATATTTCTGTAATTATTCCATCATTTGGAAGTTTTGAGTTTCTAATTATTAGGCGCAAATTAAAATGTTCTCTGTAATTCATTTCCCTCTAGGCCATGAGCCAGTGGTGTCGGGTTCCTGTTGGGTTACCTTTCTTGTGAATGGTGGATAGTAGTAGTAGTCGTCACCTTTCTCATCCTGACTCTATGTGTTTTGCCTCCAGGACTTCCTCTTTGCCATCAGGTGTCTAAATCATCACACCCATATGCTCAGTGATAAATGCACGATGCTCTGCCTTCTAAGCCCAGCCCCTTAGTCCAGGGTAAGACTCCTAGGCCTGGCTGAACATCAGAATTACCAGGAACTCTCAAAATGCCTGTGCAAGCCACCATCCCAGAGAATGTGATTTAATTGGTCATGGGTGAGGCATGAGCATCAGTTTTTCTTAAACACTCCTCAAATAGTTCCAATGTATAAACCAGGATTGAGAAACATTGGTCTAGAGATGGACCCTTCCATCTCCTAATGCCCTCCTGGAGTTGATATCAACGTCCTACTGATGATTATGTTGGGTCATAGATTGAACCCAGTTTCTAGCTAGTTGGTTTCCATCATAGACATTGCTAAGCCCAGCATTGCAACCTCATTTCTCCCAAATATACTTTCCCTGCTTATCTCAAAAGGTTTACCACAGGAATTAAAATGATGTGAAAATTGAGCAGGGGAGGGTATAGCTCAGTGGTAGAGTTCATGTTTAGCATTCATGAGGTCCTGGGTTCAATCCACAGTACCTCTGTTAAAATAGATAAGTAAATAAATAAACCTAATTTCCTCCCCCATGAACAAAAATAAAAGCAAAAAGCCCAAATAAAATAAAATAAAATAATAAAAAAGTGAAAATTAAGAATTACAAATGGCAATACTTAGCATTAATATATGATTGGAAGAGAAACAAAAGAAAATACCTCAATTCTGGGGCAACTGTTCTAGAACTCTTTTAGCAAAATTAAATGTACACATGCCCTGTGACCTGGCAATCTCACTCTTGCATATACATCCAGAAAACTTCAGGTACAAGTTCATCTTGGAACATGGACAAGGATGTTCATTGCAACAGTGTTGGTGATGGCAGGGAGCTTAAGGCAATCAAGATACTTGTCACTAAAAATTTGATAAGCAAAATGTAGAGGATATACTTTTGGAATTTAACTTAGAAGTTAAAACAACAAAACGGTCACACAGACAGCAATATGACTAAAACTATAAATGAAAGTGATGAAAGAAAAAAGGAAACAACATGAAATATGTAGCACATTGCCACTTATGTACATTTAAAACAAATTCTTTCATGAAGAAATGTTACAGATTTTTCATGGATACATTTATATCCAAGGGCATTTACCAAACACAGTATAGTAAATGCTTATGGGAAATGGGATTGGGAAGTGAGGTTAAAGGGAAAAATAATGAGGCAAAATTTAGCAATAGCAGAACCTTAAATAGCCAGATGCTGTCAATAAGTGCTGTGAACTGAGGAGTATGATTATCTTACCCCTCTGCTCTTTCCAAAGGTAGAACAAGAGAGCAAGAGGGAGGGAGGGTAGTGAGCCCTGATCGGTTTATGTAGGAACAGGAGAAGCTAGAGAGAAAAACAAGAACTTGGGAACTAGGGAAGAGAACCAGGAACCTGCCCTGGGCTGCAAAGAAAAATCTGGCTTTATTGCTCCGTATAATGGATTGCAGGAGGAAATGAAAAAGCCTTGCTAAGTTGGAAATAAGGGCATTTACAAAATCCTTGAAATAGAGGGGGAGCAATTTGAAGACTGGAACTGAGAAACTGCACTTCTAGACCTGGAAGGGAGTTTTATGCTGTAGACTCAGGGATGTTGCTGCTACCCCAGGTGAGGGATGGGTTCTGTTCCTCCTAACAGTCTTAGTTTCAGAACAAAGGAGTTTCCAGAAAAGGAATGATGTTCCCCCATTAGAGAGTGACCCCCATGACTAAAGAATCCTTTTCAGGTAGTGATCTAATCATCGATCATCTGATAAAAATCCATGCAACGAGCCTCTACCATGTGCTTGGCAATGGATGTATGGAGAAGAGTGAGGCCAATCTCTGGCTTAATATGGGGCACATGTAGATGTGAAAAGCACCCTTTGCTTTGCTCTGAACACTGAGCTGGGGCTGTGCAGAATTTCTATTCTCCCTGACAGCAGGGAATCATCTACCTGTAGAATTAGGAACCCCAGTGATGCATTCACTGTCAACACAGAGAAGCGCATGCCTTAACAGGAAGCCTCTCCATCTGTGCCACTGATAAAGAATAATGAACATATTAATTAATGCATTAAAGAATCATGTTTTGAGCCTTCCTACTAGGATGCTAAGAAGAACAATACAAATACCATCATGTTATAGTTGGAAACAACTTGTACATCAGATCAGACTCGGGTAACAGCTAGGTCAGGTCCTGCTGCTGGTGGATTGGATTTTACAGCTGTGGGGATCATGGGCTGTGAAATCAAATTTGGACCCCAAAGGCAGGGCAGGGAAGCTGTTGCTTGGGGAGCCACCCTGGTTTGCCCCTGAAAGTCACACTGGAGTGGCTTTGAGAGCAATTATCCTGGTAGAGCAGCTCTTACTTTGCATTTAAGATTGTCCTCCTGAAAAGGTCATGTGTAAATCAAATTTAATAAATCAAATTCTACACTTCATACCTTGGGGAGGCTCTCTCTTCAAAGGAAGCTGTGAGTGAATCCCTTTTTAATAGAAGTAATCAGCTCTTCATTTATCTGATTTGTAAGGTAAGATTTTTATATACCTGATTTTCTTAAAGTGATCAACAGAGTTTTTCTTTTGTCAGTGATAGAAAACCCAACACAGTACGGTGTAAGTAAAAAACAACAGCAAAGAACTTATAGGCACATGTAATGAAAAGTTTAGGGACTTACTGGCTTTAGACATGGCTGAATTCAGACCCAGACAATGACAATAGAACTTTGTTTTTCTCCATCTTTCACATCTGCCTTCTCTTGGCTTTATTCTCAGGCTCTACCTGGGTGAAGCAGCTGCAGCATCTTATCTGCCAGGTTTAAGGCCAACCAGGAAGATTCCCTGCTTCTTTTCCCAGCAGTCTCAGAATTGGTTCTGACTGAGTCACTTGCCTATCCCTCGATGAGTAACTGGTGAGGAACCGATTAGCTTGGCCCTGGTCACATGGGACTATACACAAACCAGATGGATGAAGAGTGGGGAAATGGCACTTTCCGGAAGAAAATCATGTAGTTGTCAGGAGAAGTGGGAGCAATGTCAAGGAGGGGGGACGTAAACTCAACTCCTCCCTCTCCCTCGTCCTCATACCCAGTCCATCACCAAGCTTGTTGAGAAGTAGTTACCAAGGAGTTATCTGCACACACCTGCATCAGAATCTCCTGGGGCTTCTGTTAAAATGCAGGTTTTAGGGTCTTACTCTGGATGTAGGGAATTCTACTGTCTTGGGGTGGGTCTCAGAATCTGCAATTTTAGATCATTTCCCAGTCTCTCTCTCTATATATATAGACACACACACACACACATGCACACTGACATTTAAGGACTACTTCCCAAAGTTGTTCCATTCTTACATCTCCACAGGAGCCACCTTAGTTCGGGACTCACCATTTCTCACCTGGATCTTCTCTTTGCCTCCATACTGGTCCTTTCTCTTTCACCTCTTCTTTGCCAACCACAGTCCCATCCCCCACGATGTGTGCTTATGCTAAATCACCCCAATTTCCAAACTCTTACTCTGGTTTAGCTCTCCAGCCTCTGGTCTTCTGTGATCTCCTCACTTACCCTGGATCTCAGCTATTCTCATGCCCCTCCTCATCCCTTCTCCAAACATTCCAGATCCTTTCCTCTCTTTCAACTCAGCTGCACGTGATCTTCCCTCTGCCTCTAATGCTATTCCCTTTTTTCTTCACCTGGCAAGCTCAAACCCCGTCTTAAGCCCAGCTCAACTGCCACTTCCTCTGTGAAGCCCCTCTGTCCCATCCCTCTACTCCCCCAACCCACCTTGTTCTCCCTCAGCACCCCACTTCTATCTCTTCCACAGCAGTTCCACACACTATCTGAAACTAATGAATTTATAGGTCTGTTACTCCTTCTGGCCCTACAAAGGGGCTCAATAATAGCCAAGTTTTAAAAGCAAGTCTTTTAAGATTGAGTTCTCAACCAGCTTGAGATATTTACAAGATATGCGACTTTGGGCAAGTCACCTCGTTTCCCGAGCCTTAGTTTCCTTATGTGTAAATGGGAATATTGATACCTTCTGCACAGGTACGATGATGGGCTCAATTGAGATAATGAACAGAAAACTCTTCGCACAGTGCCTGGCAACGTAATTAGTGCCAATGAGTGCTAAATTTAAAAAATTAACCTTCAAGTCAAGGGAGCAAAAGCCCTCAGTAGCACACTTAAATTCACATTTATGTTATGCTAAGCAACTGTTTCTTAAAACCACATTACTCAAACTAGTCCTGTGGTGTTGTGCAGGTCAAATCTGGAAAGATGCAGATGGACTCAGGCCTTATAGGCCATTTTCCCACGTCCCTGAGACCTTCACATTCCTCTTTATCTTCTTTCGGGCTTTGAGAAGCTTTAAGTCCATCCCTCTGAAATAATCACTTTCAGTCCATGTAATGCTGACACGAGAGTAATGCAGCTCCCCGCAGTGTGATTTCTCTGGACCATGGAAATGTTTGGGCTCCTTGTGAATGAGGCAGGTAAAAGGTGCCTGGTGGTGGACAGCCAGTTCAGAAGCGGCCGCCTTGAGCTCGCATAAATGAAAGCCATTAAAGCCGCCTGAAGTGACAAGATTGGTCCAGGGATCCGAATGAACTGATGATAAGTGTGGAAGAGGTAAACATTTCATTTAAGTGAGCAGCGGGATGAATTTCAAGAAATTTAGCCCCTCTTCTGGTGACTACTTCCCGCTTGTTTTATAATCTGCCTGAAATTGTTACTGTCCTTTAGGATCATACATCTTGCACTTGGCATGCAAGAGGAAATGTAAAGGGGATCACAAACAGAAGTCGGGAAAAGCACAGATAGTTCAAGAAAAAAATGCTTGCAAATTCCTAGTTATCTGCAATGCCCACTGTTTGGGGAAGATTTACACGTTGCATGTTGATGCAAGAAAAGCACAGTGGCCATGTAGCTGGTGCTTCATGTTACTCATTAATGTTGATTTTCTCCTTTCTTTCCATCCATGGAAGTGGGTAGGGAATGGTGTGTGTGTGTGTGTGTGTGTTTGTGCGCGCGCTTCCGTGGTGCTTGCAAGAGGATGCAAGAAAATGACTTCTATGTCTTTGTGGTTAGCTCAAATTTTAGAGCATGGGTCACAGCACTAACTGATTGTGTTTGTCTAGCCAATATGTTAGGTATTATTCTAATGCAGCCCTGCTGTAGGTTCACGGAATATGAAATTTAAGAAGAAAACACAGGGCAAAATCCTTGCCTTCAGGGAACTCATGATTAGAACATAAAAATAGACAGGTAAACAAACAAAACATAAGATTAGGCTCCCTTGAAGCCAGAGATAAGTCTTATGCATCTGTGTTTCTCAGCACCACTAGGTTGTTTCACGACCTTCACAGGCTTAAGATACTGTTTTAGAGGTCTGCCTTATTTAAAATCAAATATATTATAATGCTACTGCCACATTAAACATAATTTTTATAGTCGTATAAGAGTTGTGTTGAAAGGCAGTTGACAGGTTGACATAAGGTTATACTTTGTAGACTTTCAAGCAGATGCTTATTGATTTAATTTTGCAGTCTTTGTATTATGAAGTTGTTATTAATTGTTTTCAGTTCTCAGATATTTCTATGAACACTTGAAAAGCTCACAGGTCCTGGAAAGTGCTCTGATAGTGTCTAATAGATTACATAGCCCTAGGAACTTCACAGCATGTCTGGCACACAATGGGTTCTTCATAAATATTTAATGAATGAATAAATAAATGAAGGACATCAGATAATGAATAAATATCATGTATTAAAGAGTCCAGTTCCATGAAGCAAGGAACTTGTCTGACAGCTGTGGGTTCCATTCTGGATCTCAATTCTGACCTCTTTGAAAGTGGAGGTCTTTGGTTGCTAAGGGATTATCATGGCTGGGGGCAAATATCTCCTGCCAATTGCAAAAACTAAAAAAGCCTGGTCCTAATAGGTTTTTAGTAAAAAGCATAGAATAGTCCAATATGCACAGAGTGAAGTGAAGCATTGTGGAAGTAAGCATGTACTTTTGTCTTAGTTCAGAAATGATGGGGGCAATAGCGTGGTGCAAAGTCAGAGGACCTGAAGCATTAGAGATAATGCTTATGAGCATGAACTTGATGTTAGACCCCCTGGATTTGGATCCTGGCTCCAGTACTCCTGGTTGTGTGCCCCTGAAAATGATGTAATTTATCTGGAGTATTATTATTATTATTATTACTACTATCATCATCATCATCATCATCATCAACATATAAAAACGGGAATAATATAGAACCTACTTCACAGGGTTGTGGTGAGAATTAAATTAATTGTGCAAAACACTGATCACAGTGCCTGACATGTTGTAGGAAACCCCCAAGTTTAGCCGTTATTTTAATTTGTTCCAGTGATGTCAGAAGTTAGCAGGATGATCTTGGACAAGTCTCTCAACTACTTAGAGTTTCTGGTTTCCTTTGTTCAGTACAGGCTGAGAAAAATATTTCCTAGTGAATCAGAGCCAGGTGTGAAGATTGGATGAGGTTATTAGAGGTGGTCCAGGGTCAGTGGCAGCACAGGGTGTTATGGGAACTGGGAACTGGGAACTGGGAATGACTTTTCTGTTCGTGTGTGTATAGCTGATGCAGTTGGTGGGAAATAGCAGGAAGGGGTTTTGGAGATTTCAGGGCAGGAAAGCTGTGTCAGTCAGAGTTCTTAGTTGCAAACAACAAAAACCAATCCTGGCTAGTTAAACATAAAAGGAATCCAAGAAGGGATATTAGAAATCTTGAAGAACTTCCAGGGTGACCTAGAGACTATGCATTCAGGAGCAAAACCCAAAATCATACTGCAGAAGTAGTTCAATAGAGACACTGCGGCTGCCTAGCTGGGCATGGACATGGTTGCCTGTGACCAACTCTGCTGGTGCAGGGCATTCAATGCTATCATTAGACTCCCCGCTATTGACATCTTTGGAAACTGGTTGTTGCTGTTGCCAGCAGATTCCACATAGTACCTGATTGTACAAGTCAAAAGTTTCTTACTCAATGCTCAGCGCAGGTGTGTCTGATTGGTGAAGCCAAGGTCACATCCCTGTATCCTAGCTGCATGGCAGGCTGAGAAAAACATGGATTCTGCTAGGGGATTTGGAAGATCAGTAACTCTCCAAACATAAGAAAGGTGTTCAAAGATCTAGTCAGCCCAAATAATGACACAAGTCTATTATAGCGTGACCCTTTGGCTGAGTTTTGCAGGAAGTTTAGAAGTGGGTAGACTTGCAAGCTTTTGATAGGCCATGGTAAACACAGAAGGCAGCATATTCAAAGGATTGGTGAACTGGGGAAGCTGGCACAGACAAGTAATTTTTAATATTTCAGTCTTGCTGGAGTGAAAGTCCTATGAGTGCATGCATGACTGTGTGTATGTGTGTGTTTGTGTGTCTTCTCTTGGGCTGCTTTAATGATTTTCTTTTCTTTTTGGTTTTCGCTATGATGTATTTAGGTATGTGTGTGTATTTTAAAATACTCATTCTATTTGGAGTTTGTTGAGCTTTTTGGATCTCTGAGTTTATTTCTTTAAATCAACTTTGAAGAAAAATTAATCATTATGTATTTGCATATTTCTTTTATATTTGTTCTCTCTCTCCTCTCTCTCTAAGATGTCAATTAGAAGTATGTTAGATCATTTTATATTAGCCCATGGGTGACTGATGGTCTGTTCATCCCTTTTCTCTGTTTCAATTTGGATAATTTCTACTGACTTGATTTTAAGTGTACTGTACCTTTCTTCTGTTGTACTCAATCTGCTGTTAAACTCAAAATATTAACTTTTGCTTTAAAATAAATAAATTTTCAGGTCTATAATTTCTATTTGGTTCTTTTTCCTTCCAGTTTTATTTAGGTATAATTGACATACAGCACTGTATACTTTTTTAGGAGAAATAATTAGGT